CCCTGCCATTCAAGCAAGATGTATCCTGAAGAGGCTTTGTCTTGGAAGAGAGAGCTGGTTATGTAGTCTTAAAGGGCCGCATTTCAGTCACTATTTCATATTTATTCTGTTGTCTGACAACAGAAATAGTAATATATATATATACATGAAAACAGTTTTATTGAGAATTTGGCTGCATTAAAATACAGTATGGGAACACAGAGAGACAAACAAATGTAAAAGGCAACAGACGCGCTGACGTCATGAATATGCTAATTAGTGTATGACATCATCTGGAGACATTTAGCGACTTTTCAAACTGGCTTTAGCTACTTTCAATTGAAAGAAGTTGGCAACACTGCTTACCATAGTCTGGATTTAAGAGTTTTCCAAGCATCTGTTCACAGATACCCGAAAGTACTGAGCCAAACGGGAGAGGCAAGCTCAAATACAACCCTTTAAGGCGAGGGGAGCACTGCCTGAGACAGCATTACACAAGAAACCAGGCTATCATACCGGCTGGATATCATATCGACGAGTGAAGTAAACACTGCAAGTCGAGCACCCGGTTTCTGAATCCAACAGAGGGGGTGCTCACCGAGGACCTACCCTAGAAAAGGACAGAAACACACAGGTCCCGGAAAACACTGCAAAGGAAGCTAGCAGATGGATTATACACACAACCATCAGCACATTAAATACACATATATATACAGTAGGGATGCACCGATACCACTTTTTCCAGTACTCGCCCGATACCGATACTTTTATTTTTGGTACTTGCCGATACCGAGTACCGATACCGATATTTTTATTGCATTTGTAAATTATATATATATAGAAATGGATCGTACTCACCCACCATGGTTCCCACGCCGGAGCCCAGTCCGAAGAAGCCTCTAGTCCGGACCATCGGTAAGGTGGTCACTATGAAGCCATAGAACCAACCAAACATCAAAGGACCAGCATAGGAGACTTGCCTACCTCCCTTTGACCCACGATTCTCCCCAACATTAAACCGAGATGGACCAGGACCACTGGGTTGTTCGGGCTCAGGTGATAGGCCCTCGCTTTTATCCAGGTCTTTCAGCAGCTCAGCCTGATATGCCTGGAGCACCACCATCATGTGCAATGAAGCGAAAGCCCAACCTGCTGCTGCTGCGTATGCCCTGCCATTCAAGCAAGATGTATCCTGAAGAGGCTTAGATGGCAAGGAGGGAGTCTTAAGAGAGGACGTCTCACCCATAGAAAGATAGCTGGCATATGATAGCTGTGCCTCAGCAGCGGTGGGTCCTAAATCGCGGGAAGCAGATGGCTGCCCCTATTTCCTCGA